CTTAGCACTAAAAAAACCAGAATCTCCACAGGGAAGCATCCGGATTTTTTTTTTTTTTTTTGAGACAGAGTTTCACTCTGTTGCCCAGGCTGGAGTGCAATGGCACAATCTCAGCTCACCGCAACCTCCGCCTCCCAGGTTCAAGCGATTCTCCTGCCTCAGCCTTCCGAGTAACTGGGATTACAGGTATGCACCACCATGTCCGGCTAATTTTGTATTTTTAGTAGAGATGGAGTTTCTCCATGTTGGTCAGGCTGGTCTCAAACTCCAGACCTCAGGTGATCCACCTGCCTTGGCCTCCCAAAGTGCTGGGATTACAGGCGTGAGCCACCAAGCATCCCAATTTCTACGAGTATGGATGCTATTGCCCTGGGAGAATATACAGCAATTATTCATCTCATTAGAGCCCCAATTCTCACTTGTGTGATGGGTCAGTGCCAAAATGCAAGTGCAAAACAGCTTATTCAGTGCACCAGAGGAAAAAATAAAACTACCTATAGGCTATGTGTATAAAGTATATATGAAACATAAATGAATTTTGTGTTTAGACTTGAGTGTCATCCCCAAGATATCTCATTATGTATCTGCAAATATGCCAAAATCCAAAAAATCTGAAATCTAAAACACTTCTGGTCCCAAGCATTTCAGGTAAGGGATACTCAACTGGTACAGTGAATGCTCTCTTATCTATGTCAACTTAACCAACTGGCTGGATTAAATGACTGTCTCAATTCCAAACAGGTCTTACTATAATAACTTGATGCTCATGAAATGCCAAGCATGAGTGGGCCACTCTGTGGTACTCCTACTAACTGAGCGTTTCTATTCCTGTGAGCTGAACTATATCTTTAATAAGAACCCACTGTGTTTGCTGAACTGTATGTGACCATAGTATTTGCAGTTTCAACTGTAGTGTTAACTAAACATCATATAAACCAATAAAATCAATGCAAAAAGGGCCAGGCCTGATGGCTCACACTTGTAATCCCAACACTTTGGGAGGCCAAGGTGGGTGGATCATATGAAGTTGGGAGTTCAAGACCAGCCTGACCAACATGGTGAAACTCCATCTCTACTAAAAATACAAAATTAGCCAGGCGTGGTGGTGCACGCCTGTAGTCCCAGCTACTTGGGAGGGTGAGGCAGCAGAATTACTTGAATTCAGGAGGCGGAGGTTGTAGTGAGCCAATTTTGCACCATTGCACTCCGGCCTTGGCAATAAGAGTGAGACTGCATCTCAAAAAATAAAATAAAATAATAAATGCAAAAAGTTATTGAGTCTATGAAAACAAACTTAAATGCTTTGGAAGTACTTGATAAAGCTTAAAAACTGCAATCAAATTAAGTGTGCAGGAGCAACCATAAAAGAATGGGAAAAGCTGTAAAACTGTGGGAATCTGTATTCAAATTGCTTTACTAGGGTGATAAGAGTTTTCCTTTGCTCTAAAGAAACAAACTTTACATTACTGAAGATGCATTATGTGTGTACTTTATGCAGGGAAGACAGGCTACGCCAGCCGTGAACTCAAAAGATAAGACCTTGGTCCCACATCAAAATACTGGCCAATGAATACATAAAATGTCTTAAATTAAAATCAAAAGGTATGGATGGATAATTTTCATCATTTCCCTACTTTTACTTTTTTAAAAATTGTATATAACATGTTTTAATATACTCATGGCAAAATGGTTACTACAGTCAAGTAAATCAACAGACCTATCATCCCCACGAAGTGTGTATGACAAGGGCACCCAAAACCCACTTTTACTTTTAATTAAAACCACTGCTAGGCAGAAGAGGGTTGAAGAAAGTTTCTATCACACAACCAGTTGCTCAAAGTGGACAACAAATGCTACCTGCCTCTCAGAACAAGCTGCTTGGGAGGCGACTGAGAAATGAACGGGGAAAGTACAGGGGGTTTGGATTCAGCAGACCCATGTATAACCCTGGCTCTGTCACTTATTAGTTCTGGAAACATGAACAAGCTGGTTAATGGCTAAATCTGCTTTCTTGTCTAAAAAATGGAGCTAATGATGCCTACCTAACCTGCTCACTATGAGGATGAAATGAGACAATGTATAAAGCAGTGGTCTCCAACCTTTTTGGCACCAAGGACCAGTTTTGTGGCTGACCATTTTTCATACAGCCGGTTGGAGGACAGAGGGATGATTCAAGGACATTACATTTATTGTGCACCTTATTTCTGTTATTACACTGTAATATATAATACGTAAAGTAATTATACCAACTCACCATAACATAGAATCAGTGGGTGCCCTGAGCTTGCTTTCCTGCAACTAGACAGTCCCATCTGGGGGTGATGGGAGACAGTGACAAATCATCAGGCACTAGATTCTCATAAGGAGCATGCAATCTAGATTCCTCACATGCACAGTTCACAAATGGCTCTGTGCTCCTACGAGACTCTAACCTAATGCTGCAGCTGATCTGAGAGGAGGCGGAGCTCAGGCAGTGATGCAAGTGAGGGGAAGGCCACTGGAAATACAGATGAAGCTTACCTCACTTGCCCACTGCTTACCTCCCACTGTGCGGCCTGGTTCCCAACAGCCCATAGAACAGTACAGTTCTGTGGCCCAGTGTTTGGGGACCCCTGGCATAAAGCACTTGTACAATGGCTGCACATATGAAGCATTCCATATTCATTAGCTGTGTACCCACTAGCCCACCTTAATTCTGTCAGGACTCAACTTAAACCTGCCTATTTTCAAATTCCAAAGGAGAGGCTCTCAAAAGTAGAACCTAGTAGGGACTTCAATATTTGTCAAAAGAAGAAATGTGAAAACATGTTTGGCAGGTACACAAAGTAATTGATTTGATTTTTTTTTTTTTTTTTTTTTTTTTAATTTAAAACAGCCAGGTATGGCCGAGGCAAAGCACCACCCTGCTGGGCCGTAAATGAATGGATTTTAATGAATCAGTTTAAAGAATGAAGACATTTCCTTTTTTCTTTGAAATGGAGTCTCGTTCTGTCACCAGACTGAGGTGCAGTGGCTCGATCTTGGCTCACTGCAACCTCTGCCTCCGGGGTTCAAGCGATTCTCCTGCCTCAGCCTCCCAAGTAGCTGGGATTACAAACACGTGCCACCACACCTGGCTAAGTTTTGTATTTTTAGTAGAGACGGGGTTTCACCATGTTGGCCAGGCCAATCTCCAATTCCTGACCTCATGATCTGCCCACTTCAGCCTCCCAAAAGTGCTGGGACTACAGGTGTGAGCCACCATGCCCAGCTGAGATTTTCTTTTAAACCAGTATTTCCAAACAACCCGTATCACTTTACAAACATAAAACACCTCAGCATTCCCCAAATAACTCACACTTGGCCACGATGCATTATGATGTACTGCTGTTTGCATAACATTGATATTCAATTTGCTAGTATTTCTGGAATTTTTGTATCTATGCTCATTAGAGAGAGAGTAGTCTGTGATTTCCTTTTCTCAAAATGAGCTGGTCAGAGTTTGATATCCAGTTTAGTGTGAAGTTGTAAAACTAGTTGAACAGTGTTTGCAGTATCACTTTTGAGGTTTGTGTTTCTTCCTTTGAGACAAACTCTGTCTCCCAGGCCGGAATGCAGTGGCACGATCTTTGCTCACCATAACCTCCACCTCCCAGGTTCAAGTGATTCTCCTGCCTCAGCCTCCTGAGTAGCTGGGACTAGAGGTGGGAGACACCATGTCTGGCTAATTTCTACATTTTTAGTAGAGACAGGTTTCGCCATGTTGCCCAGGCTGGTCTCAAACTCCTGGGCTCAAGCGGCCCACCCTACTCTACCTCCCAAAGTGCTGGGATTACAGGCAAGAGCTACCCATCCTAGCCAACTTTTGAGATTAAACAATGCAGTTTAACTGCTTTACTGTGGATTTTGATTGTTGACATTAATAATAAATGCTACTCTGCTCAACGCAGTACATATAATTACCTCGTCTCTACTGCCATTGTCCTTATCTTCTCACATCTCATCTTCCCCAACTTCTATCTCCTTTGGGGCAAGGCTCATTTTCTTCAGTACACCTTGATTTTTTTCCTGCTCAAAGTGGACAAGATTATTATTAGGCACATCACAGAGGCTTCACACATTCCAAGTCTTGCACGTTTTGCCTCTACTATTTCCAACAGTAAATTGGCGTCTGCAATAAACTCACGTTAGGCCTCAACTTTTTCTTTTCTTTTTTTTTTTTGAGACGGAGTTTCGCTCTTGTTACCCAGGCTGGAGTGCAAAGGCGCGATCTCGGCTCACCGCAACCTCCACCTCCTGGGTTCAGGCAATTCTCCTGCCTCAGCCTCCCGAGTAGCTGGGACTACAGGCACGCGCCACCATGCCCAGCTAATTTTTGTATTTTTAGTAGAGACGGGGTTTCACCATGTTGACCAGGATGGTCTCGATCTCTTGACCTCGTGATCCACCCGCCTCGGCCTCCCAAAGTGCTGGGATTACAGGCTTGAGCCACCGCGCCCGGCCCTCAACTTTTTATTTTCATTTGGTATCTTTTACTCACACCAGAGAACAGAAAAATAGAAAAGGTGGTTTTTGATGTTGTAGGTGCGGTCTCCCATACCTCCTCTTTTGCCACAATCTACAAGTGGAAACTCCTTAAGGTTAAGAAACTAAAAAAAACAAAGGCAAATTCCAAGAATCCCTCCCTACTCCTCTCACTTTGTTGCCTCCATCATGTGTTTTTAAATAATTGTTTAAAAAAAAAATTAATTCCACCACAGACTACTCAAATGGAAGCACAATGGGCCAAAATAAAGGGGACACGGGCCAAAAAAAGTACCTACAATTCAAGTACCTTTACCTACCCAGCCAGAGAATTCTGTGAACTGGGACAGTGTCCATCACTACCACTACCAGAATTCAGAACACAAATTAGTCTACAACACTCGCTGCCACGTCAGCCCTTGTCTCTAACAGGTTCTCCCTTAAGGCTATCGCAGGTGTAGGGCTCCCGCCCAGAGCCCACCAACGCCCTGGGTGGTGTGCCCCTGCGCGCCACCGCGCGTGACGGACGCAGGCACGACATCCAGGGAGAGCCCGGAGAATGCCGCAGACGCAGACACGACATCCAGGGAGAGCCCGGAGAACGCCGCAGACGCAGACACAACGGGAACGCCCTCACAGACACTGCCCAAGATCCAAAGACCACGGGGAAAACCGTCACGTAGAGCGACGGCGCCCTCGTGACTCCGCTTCGCCCAATGAGAGCCCGGGCGGTGCGGGAGCCTGGGGGCGGAGTCTCGAGTTAGGGTGAAGGGGCTGCACGTGTTGCTCCGGCCAGTGGGGCGGACATTTTGTTGCGATCTGGCGCCGGGGGCTGTGCTTTGGGTCCGCTGGTTCTGGGGCGCGCGGTGTCCCAAGTGTTCGCGCCAGGTTGGTGGGCGAGAAGGCTGAAACGCGCCAGAGTTCCGGGAGTTGGTGAGCAGGTCGCGCGGTCCGACGCTCCTCTAGCGGTGGGGCCGTCGGAAAGTGAATAGCGGTCGTTAAAGCGACCGGTCCTTGAGGGCGCGTGTGCCTGGATGGGTTCCCAGCGTTCGGGGCCTTAAACCCAGGCCGCGTCCCACCCAGCGAGGGCTGTGTTAGCGACCTCGCCGTTGCCAGCCGGGAAGGAGGCACGGAGACGACAGTTGAGGGTCACTCCGTTAAGGCTGTCGCAGCTGTAGCCCCCTCCCCACCTGCCCCGCTGCGTGTTTGTGCCACGCAGTGTACCGGTTGCGTTTTCATACATTTTATCATGGACGTCTCAAAACACACGTGTGACTTAGATGGTAATAATAGTTTCATTTTACATTTAAATAAGTTAAGGCGCAATCACTTAATACACTCTCCTAGTTTCTTTGCTTTGGACTGTCATGAACATGTGCTCTCACAAGACCCCACGGGCATTAACACCAGTAGTCCCAGTAGGAGGATCAGGCTCCTAGGAGTTAGTCCCGTGTTGGGACTTGAAGAGTGGCAATTTGGGGATATTGTGTGTGTTTGGAGAATAGGGAAGGGTGATCTTGAGTAAAGGGTGCTGGCCTTATCCTAGCTTCAGAGAGACCCAAATTGGGATGGAATGAGAGTATAAAGAAAAATGTGCCTGCCTGTTTTAGATACGGTACTTCTCTAAACACTTTTGCCTGGCTTACTTTATGAGGTTAGCCCAAATAGTTTAAGAAAACTGATCAACAACAATTGAAGAAAAGGCAAAAGCCCATTTCATTTGTGAACAGATGCAAGGTTCAAACAAAGTATTAGCAAATTGAATCACCGCACTCTGCCAAGAAGTATTCTTATTAAAATCAATAACAAGGACAGGATAAGACACAAGAAGCAGAATCCATGAATGTGCCAAAATATGGCACCTTGGCAGTTGAGAAAAACCACAGAAGCAAGGTCTCTGTGATGTGCTGCTGCCTTTCTCCCATAAAGCAGGGTCATAAAGGAATTCACTGGCCTACCTCGTGTAAAGTTGGTCAGAAGACCCCCATGCCAGAGGCATCTTGCCGCATACCTGGGGAGGAGAAGTGTCGTACAGAGACGCAAGAAAGAATCTGAACAAACTAAATGTAATGTATAGACATTTTAAAATCCTAATTCAAAACAAACCAATAATTTAAAGAGACTTTTTATTTTTGCTTTTTACAGATGAGATCTCACTCTGTCACCTAGGTTGGAGCGCAGTGGTGGGAACACTGTAGCCTCAAACTCCGGGTGGACTCAAGTGATCCTCCTGTCTCAGCCTCCTGTGTAGCTGGGACTACTGGCACACACTACCACACCACCCAGCTATTTTTTTTTTTGTAGAAATAAGATCTCGCTGTGTTGCCCAGCCTGGTCTCCAACTCCTGGCTTCAAGCAGGAAGATCGCTTCACCCCAGGAGTTCAAGACTAGCCTGGGCAATATGCCAAAACTCCATCTCTACAAAAACAACAGCAGCAGCTCCCCCCTCCAAAACCCAAAAAATTGGCCAGGTGTGGCAGCTCACTCCTGTAATCCCAGCACTTTGGGAGGCCAATGCAGGCGGATCATGAGGTCAAGAGATCGAGACTATCCTGGCCACCATGGTGAAACCTTGTCTCTATTAAAAATACAAAAATCAGCTGGGTGTAATGGTGCACACCTGTAGTTCCAGCTACTCCCGAGGCTGAGGCAGGAGAATCAATTGAACCCGGGAGGCAGAGGTTGCAGTGAGCTGAGATTGTGCCAATGCACTCCAGCCTGGTGACAGAGCAAGACTCCATTTCAAAAAACAAAAACAAAAAACTCAAAAATTAACCAGTGCATGCCTGAGGTCCCAGCTACTCAGGAGACTGAGGCGGGAGGATTGCTTGAGCCTGGGAGGTCAAGGCTGCAGTGAGCCATGATGGCACCACTGCACTCCACCCTGGGTGAGAGCAAGATCTTGTCTCAAAAAACAAAACCCCAAAGTTTGCAATAAAGATTCACGTATATCGCTCTCCAGCAGTCTGAATGCTCTCCCACAGCTTAGGAGCTGTCCCCGCTGTCCCCTCTCAGGGCTTGACTGTGTGTATTCAGTCAAGGCAGGGTCAGGGCCCCCCGCTGAGGAAACCCTCTCCCTAGGCCAGCCTCCCCTCAGCTGCCTCATCCACACTCTGGCCTCCATGAAGTCCCCACTTCTCCCATTTCCTCCCATTGTCCTCAGTGTCCCTGCTCCCTACCCCCAGCCCCTGTTCTTTCTGTCTGGGAGCCCCTGTGCTTCTCCCAGAACTTGTCCACTGGGCAGGACTGACAGACAGGAGGCTCTTCCTTCCCCGAGCCAGGGATTGAGGAGGCAGGGGCATCCGGGCCTTCCTGGCCAGCATGTAGAAATTTACCCAGATGGTATGTGCTAGGTCCCACTCCCCAGGGCTGGCCAAGGCCCATCACAGTGGAGCCCATGAGTCAGATGAGTGCAAGCGTGAGCTTGGATAGAAAATCCACTGGGCAAAAGACCAGATACAAAATTGTGTATGCGTATTGTTTATAAAATAAAACAACCATGTGAAACATCACTAGGAGGAAGCATGCCGCTGCTGTTGCCTCAGAGTAAAGCTATGAGTAGTTTTCATTTTTTCTTTCCTTTAGATTTAATCTTCTTTTAAAAAGAAATCGGTAAAATACACATAAAATGTACCATCTTAACCAGTTTAGTATCGTTAAGTATATTCATATTGTTGTACAACTGATCTCCAGAGCTTTTTCATTTTGCAAATTGGAACTCTGTACAAATTAAACAACTCCTCACCTCCCCTTTCCCCAGCCCCTGGCAAGGGAGGTTTTTTTTTTTTTTTTTGAGACGGAGTTTCGCTCTTGTTGCCCAGGCTGGAGTGCAATGGCACAATCTCGGCTCACTGCAACCTCCGCCTCCTGGGTTCAGGCAATTCTCCTGCCTCAGCCTCCTGAGTAGCTGGGATTACAGGCACGCGCCACCATGCCCAGCTGATTTTTTGTATTTTTAGTAGAGACAGGGTTTCACCATGTTGACCAGGATGGTCTCGATCTCTTGACCTCGTGATCCACCCGCCTCGGCCTCCCAAAGTGCTGGGATTACAGGCGTGAGCCACCGCGCCCGGCCTGCAAGGGAGGTTTTATATTTTTTGTTTGTTTGGTTTTGAGAAGGAGTCTCACTCTATTGCCCAGGCTGGAGTGCGATGGCGCGATCTCAGCCTACTGCAACCTCTGCCTCCTGGATTCAAGCGATTCTCCTGCCTCAGCCTCCCGAGTAACTGGAATTACAGGCACCTGCCAGCTAATTTTTGTATTTTTAGTAGAGATGGGGTTTCACCATGTTGGCCAGGCTGGTCTCAAACTCCTGAGCTCAGGTGATCCACCTGCCTTGGCCTCCCAAAGTGCTGAGATTACAAGCATGAGCCACCGTGCCCGGCCTGAGGTTTTACATTTTTAAAACTTATTTTCATTTTTGCTTATTTGCACTTTCCAAATTTTCTGTGATGAGCGTTTAATATTTTTATAATTGAATTTTTTTAACTAAACATTATCTGCAACCCTGTACCATGTCCTCCACTTTCTCACCAGGGAGCATGAGCTAGGGGCATAAGCTAGGAAGCTGTCTACAGGGAGAACCCGGACAGACCGACCCCAGGCCATCCTACAGCTCCCAGCCATGGAAGCCAGGACTTCCTCTCAGGAGGACAAGATCCAGGGACTGG